GAACAATAAGAGAAAAAAGGGCTCCTGAAATCTGATTGGTCTATTTTTGGACCAATCAAATAGCGGCATTCTATTCCTCAGTGATGGGATTGGCGGGAACCCCTACATATACCCATGAATCGATAGAGCATCCTCGATAACCCTATGATTGACCCGAACACAGCTATGTCTCGTATGAACAATAAGAGAAAAAAGGGCTCCTGAAATCTGATTGGTCTATTTTTGGACCAATCAAATAGCAGGATTCTATTTCTCAGTGAAGGGATTAGCGGGGACCCCTACATATACCCATCAATCGATAGAGCATCCTCGATAACCCTATGCTTGGCCCGAACATGCCCATCACTTGTCCTCGCAATAGGGGCAAAAAGTTTGAACCCCCTTGGGTACCTTCGAGTAGTCAGACTTGAGAATGCAAGAGTACCCCGGATGGTAGGAGTTGAGGACCCAAGAGTAACCCGGATGGTAGGACTTGAGGAGCCAAGGGTATCCCCCAATAATAGGACTTGAGAACCGATAGGTGTCCTGCAATAGTACTACCGTTACCCCGTTCTCGGGTAACTGGTAAATGGCCGTTACCGTTCCCGGGTAACTGGTAACGGAACCGTTTCCAGTTACCCGGGAACTGGTAACGGAACCGTCACCAGTTCCCGGGTAACTGGTAACGGAACCTTTACCGTTACCCAGGTAACTGGTAACTTCTTCCGTGTGAACTTACCGTTACCGTTACCGGGTAACGGTCTGGGAACGGTAACTGCCGACCCCTACTCACAATACGACTCACTGATCTATATCTGTCGCTTTATTGTAACCGCTTAATCTGACCCCTAATCTAAGTCTTTAATCTATATCTATCTCCTTACTTTATCGCCTAAATGTATCCCCTGAATCTAACTCCTTAATCTAATCCCTTATTCTATCATTTATTCGATTCCCTTATTCTAATCCCTTAATCTAATTCCTTATTCTATCCCTTATTCTATCATTTATTCGATTCCCTTATTCTTATAATCCCTTAATCTAATCTCTTAATCTAATCCCTTATTCTATCCCTTATTCATTCCCTTATTCTAATGCCTTATTCTATCATTTATTCGATTCCCTTATTCTTATAATCCCTTAATCTAATCTCTTAATCTAATCCCTTATTCTATCCCTTATTCTATCCTTTATTCATTCCCTTATTCTAATGCCTTATTCTATCTCTTTATTCTATCATTTATTCGATCCCGTTATTCTAATCCCTTATTCTATCCTTTATTCTGACTCATCAGTCGAATCCCTTATTCTATCCTTTATTCTGACTCATCAGTCGAATCCCTTATTCTATCCTTTATTCTGACTCATCAGTCTAATCCCTTATTCTAATACCTTACTCTACTCCCTTGCTCTAATCCCTTATTCTAACCCCTAATCTGACTCCTCAATCTATATCTATTCCCTTATTTTAAACCCACAATCTAACCCCTTATTCTAACCTCTAATCGAAGTCCTGAATCTATATCTAACCTCTCATTCTATCCTCTTATTCTAACCCCTTATCTGATCGTCTTATTCTAAGTCTTTATTCTACACCTATTTCCTTATTCTAACCGCTTAATCTAACTCTCGTATTTTGATTTCAATTTCAATATTGATGAACATGTATTCATAGTATAAAGAGACAAGAAAAGCTCCTCAATATAAACTCATGAATTTCGTCGAAGCCCTTCGGTGTTATGTCTGTTAAAGCGAATACTCTGAAACTAGTGAAAGTTCCCAAGTGTATATGACTGTTAGATCCAGAGTCATATTGTCAGCTGAAATCCTAAAGTCTTTAAATCTGTCAAGGACTTAGACATGATATCAGTCAACGTGCTGAATCTTATGAAAGATAGAGACATGAACTTAATGGAATCGCTCAAGTGTTCCGTTTTCCAAATTCGCGGTCATGAAGTTAGTGAAATTGGTAGAAGTTGGAAGTCTCCTAAATAGAATGTCATTAATTTAGTCTGGATTCTGGGGTATTTATGTCTCCTACGACCGGCGTCGTACTGTCAGTCTTATCGCTATAGTCTTCATGTATTCCTCCGAAAGGCTGATTGAAAAAGTTAGCCTTAATCCTGTTGTCTTCCTGTATTTGAAAATCATAATCACAAAGTCAGCCTTAATCATGGAGTCGTTGTCTTTGTTTTGAGCAAGAGTCGTAAAGTCAGTCTTGTGTCTTGGAGTCTTGAAATCTCTTAAAGCTGCTGTCATGAAGTCAGTTAAAGTTTTTATGTCTTCATGTGTCTTGAAGCCATTGCCGTGAAGTTAATGAATGTCATTAGGTCTTAAATCCTGTCGAACTCAGAGTCATGAAGTAAAGTGGAGTCCTATAGTCATGAAAGCTTTTTGTCTAGTGAAGTCAAAGTTTTTAAGGCAGTCTGATGTCTGGTGTCCGTATTGCTATCGAAAGCAGCATGTTGATGTCGTTTGGAGTCTTGGGGTCTGTAGTTTCGTTATCGTTGAAGTGTAGTTTTCGTGTTCTCGTTTGTTGCAGACCTTTTAGCGGATCAGTCGGGGAAACTATATCCTGCAGTGTGAAGAAATAAATATTTACGTTTTTTTTGAGAATGCTTCCAAGATATTTTACTTTGTTTATGTGTTCAAATAGATGATTCAGAAACACGTCAACTTATTTTTGAAACGATACGCCATGGCATTCTCTACAATAGGTGAACACCGAAATTCTTGCGATTTGTGCTAATAGATTTGGAGAGAGATAAAAGGAAAGGTATGAGAGTCTATAGTGTCTCATTGTCCAGAATTTGTTTTTTTCTTCAGCTAAACAGCAATCACATTTCGCAGAAGTTTCATTCTTTCCGACTATTTTTGAACATCCAGATGCTCACTTTATCGAGATGATGGTATTCAGAAATGAGTTCTTTTACATTTGATTTGATTTATATAGTAAATGTGTATTTTTAAAGCGTTTACATTGATATCAAAGTGGGAAACTACAACATCTGATGCATCTTTTCTTTTAGCTCTCTCCAAATCTGTTAACACAAGCCAAGAGAATCTTTTTTTTGACTATTGTACAGAATATCAGGGCGCATGTTTTAAAAAGAATTTAGATTTTATCGTTTACCTTTGTGGAGATATGTGGGGAATAGATGATGTTGCAAGCATTCTGAGACACTCGGTATTTGTTTTACATTCTCTCGCAAATGAAGATTTGTTCATGTTTACTATCGTTGCTCTTCTATCACTCTTCTGTATAAATCGGTTGAAAGCATCCTCAAACGGTCGAAACTTCCACTATATTCGTTGCAATCTGTTGACAAAGATGATAATGCTGGTACGTGGATGAAACATAAGTGATTGAAGAAGGAGAAAAACGACATTCTTTGAATGACCTGACGATTTTGCGCAGCTCTTCGATCCTCCCACCAAAATTTGTCATAATCCATTCAAGTTTTTAGGTACTGAAAGATGTAAAAACGAGTCGAGATTTCCTTGGAAACAAAGTATTTTTTTTGAATTCTCAGAGTTGTAATGGTTTTACACAACAATTCCATATAAATAAAATAAAGTTTATATCATGCATGTCGAGCAATTCCTAAACCTCTACAATAACGATGGAAAGATGAAAATCAAAAAGAAGATATCCGAATGCTATTTTGATAGTTCAGAGTACTGGATAGGTTTCCGAAATTTTTCTCAGAAACGCAAGAATTGTCCGAAGACTTGGAAACCCTTCAGGATTTTCCAGACATGTTCTGAAACCATGCTTGATTTCTCGGAAACGCTTCCACCGTTTCCGGTGCCCGGAAACCCAAAAAGGTTTTCGATAAAAA